ACAGCAATCCTGTCATCACCCTCCGGACACGTGCACAATACACCCACATCTGCTCGTCTGCATCCTCATGTGTGTGCAGGTACACGCAGCACATACAACATACATGTGCACAAGACACACAGACACACATGCATTACACACACTCTCTGGACAATTCTTCACTCTCCAAAGCACATGTTTCCAGGCTTCCCTCCCTCGTGGCAACCAGATTCCAGGCTCCCAGTTCCCCAAGGGCAACCTCTAACAGCCCCAGAGGCTGAGGGCCTCACCGGGGGCCAGAGTCCCCTCCACACGCTCACCAGGCAATGAACATCAGCGTGGACTTCCCGGCCCAGCTGCAGCTCCAGCCCGGGCCTCAGCAGCTCCCTGTGATCTGTCTCACCTTCCTGGCTGTTTTCTTGCAGTTTCGTGGAGAGCCCAACCCTGGAGACCTGATTGAGATTTCCCGCATCGGCCCCTCACACTGGGCCCTCTACGTGGGCGATGGTTATGTGATCCACCTGGCACCCCCAGGTAAGGGGGGTTGAAAGTACGATTTACCAAAGATTTATTGGCTTAATGAGAACAATTCAAAGCCAAATGCCACCCTGGGAACCCTCATGGGTTCTTCCTGGGCGGGGCTTGTGCTCACTGCACATCCGTGTCCCTTGGGGGCATCTCAGTGGTCCCTCCGGTCCTGACCCAGAAGGGAAAGAGGTCCGTGGGCCCCAGGGAAGCCGGCTGCACCCGCACTGGACGCTCTCCAGCTCCGGCCCATTAGCTGGGCGCGCAGACAGATTTCCCTAAACCAGCAGCGTCTCTGGGGGCCCCGGTCTCAGGAAGGGACTGCCTCTCAGTGCTGTGTCCTGTTGCTCAGAGGATGTCACAGAACAGGGCGTCCTGAGAGGGTTTCCTGAACACCCTCCACGGAGCAGCTCTCCCAGGTCACACATCACAGAGTCTCACACAGACACACACGAGCACCTGGAACCTTGATGGACGCAGGGACAGCAGAAGCAGGATGACAGCCGGTCAGAGGAGCAGACAGGCCCCACACTGTGTATCGTCCATGAGAGAAAGGTGCTGGGATGAGACCGCGCACTGGGAGCACAGGGGCTGGTGCCCTGCAGAGCAATGGCACCCACACCTCGGACAGCAAGCGTTTGTGTTCTCGCTGGACAGAAACCGTCTCACGATCAGAGGAATCTGCTTGTCACTGACCAGGTTCTGTACGCTGTCACCTACACTGACAGAGTGGAAAACTGTCAGAATGGATGGCAAATAGTAAGCGAAACCCACCTAATGCAGACGACACTTAGGAGGCTGGGAACAGGGAGCGTGAGTGTGAGGACCGGGTCCTGCTGTGTGAGTGCAGGTGGTGTTTCCTCAAGGACGGGTGCTCAGTGCAGCCTCAGCCTCAGACTCAGCACATAAAGGAGCCTGCTGGTTACTGTGGGTTGTTGTTTTGGGGTTTTTTGTAATATATTTTTATTATTTCCAGAGAGGAAGGGAGAGGGAGAGATAGAAACATCAATGATGAGAGAGAATCATTGATCGGCTGCCTCCTGCCGCCACCTACTGGGGATCCAGCCCATAACCCGGTCATGTGCTCTTGAGGGGAATCCAACTTGGGACCCTTCAGTCCACAAATCCAGGCTCTATCCACGGAGCCAAACCAGCTAGGGCTGTGTGCTCTTTAGTTCCCTCCTCTTAGAGAGCAAAACCCGGGCAACAGGGTTTTGGACGCCACCATGTGGAAGTGCTGTGTGGACTCTCCATGTGGCCAGAGCTGCCAGAAAAGGCTGATGATGCCTCAGGGTCCAATATCGGTTGTGAAATGGAGATGAGAGAATTTACCATGACGTTCAAAAGGAGAATAAGTGAGGGAATATATGAAATTTGCACAGCAGAGTCTGAAACACAGTGGGTCTAGAACAACTTTGATCTCTTTCTGAAACACACAGAGCAAAGATGAACAAATACAATTTACTACCATTGTTTACAATGGATAAGCTAGGGACCAGCCAATAACAGGGACTTGGTCAACTAGATGATGTCCATTCATACAATGGAACACAGTGGCAGCCACTGACCATCACAACATTGATTAACATGAAAAGTATCCACAGCTCCTTAAGGAAAAGAGCAAAATCACTGAATCCTCCAATCATATTGGTGAAGGGACAGACACCAAAGCTCAATACTGTGATCCCCTGGCCTTTCCTCCCTGTCTTGCGTCCTCTCTCCCTCCCAGGCCTCCCCCTGCAGTTCCTGATACTCTTGTGTCTGATTCCAGATGAGTTCCCTGGGGCCGGCTCCTCCAGCATGTCCTCCGTGCTGAGCCCCAGAGGAAAGGTGAAAAGGGAGCTCCTGAGTGACGTGGTGGGGGGCTGCAGCTATCGGATCAACAACCACTTGGACCTGGAGTACTCGCCACTGCCCGTGAACAAGATTATCAGGTCTGCGGAGGAGATGGTCGGTAAGGAGATGGAATATGGTATTCTGAACAGGAAGCGTGAGCACTTTGTCAACGATCTGAGATATGGCAAGGCCAACAGTCGGAAGGTAAGGCTCTCTCTGGGGGGCTCCCTGTCCCTTCTGGAGGTCTGCTTGGGGTGGGGGTGACAAGGCAGAGGAAAGAATTACCCTGAATAATTCAAAAGGGAGCTCTCAGGGTTTTGTTGGCTGGGAGTCAGGATGTTTGAGCACAAATCTCGCATCTGCTTTTAATCCACTGGGGGTATTTGGACAGGGCACTTCCCCTCTAGCCTCAGTTTCCCCATGTGCAGAAGGAGGGATGTTGGAGGACCTGTGGGGCTCTGGCCACTCCTATCTGTATCGGATGGTCCTCCACCTCTATGATCCACCCTAAAGGCAGCTCCTGATGCCCTGTGTGCTGTCAGGAAAGTCTGGGCCAACCCGGGACCATGACAGGTCTCCTAAGGCCCCAGAGAGCCCTCGGGCAAGAGATGCTCAAGGTCTGTGGCCCATGTAAGAGCTCGAGGACATGTTCTGTAAGGTCTGGGCACATCTTTACCGCTCTCCTCTTCCCCTCTTATTAAAACAGAGCTAGTAAGAGGCAGCAGCAGGATTCAATGCCTAGTGCTCCGGGCTCTTTCTGCTGAACCACAGCACCTCCAGGGCTCACAGCCCCTGTGACTGGGTGATGGGCATACTGGATGGAGGAGATGAGGGGAGGAGGAGCAGGTTTGGGAGGGAAATTAAGGATTTGATGCTCAGGTGGGGTGTTGAGGTGACCAGTTAGACATCCAGGTGGACCTGTTGAGTAGCAGTTGGACGTGTGAGTCTGGAGTTCAGGCTGAGGTGGGGCTGGACATAGAAGTTTCCAGGCTGCACTTGGGAACAGTACACAGAGCACAGTGATCCCTGAGGCCATGGTTTCCCATCGTCTCCCCTCAGCTCTGCCACCACCTCCCTCTGCAGAGCTGGAGCCCAGGTTGAGTCCAGACCACAGAGCCATTCCCACTTCCACCACCAGAGCTCTGGCCCCAGTAGCCCAGGCAGGAAGCCCCCTCCCCTACCCACTCCCGTCAGGACCAAGTGGCCCCACCATGGAGGTTCACATAGGCCCTGGAGTGGGTGGGACAGAAGTCTGGGGGTGGGTCAGAAAGACATGGGGTCACATAATCGAGTTCAGCATGGCCCTGAGTAAAGTCAAGAGGGAAAGATGAACAAAGAAGTGAATTCCAGAGAAGCTTCCAGGCTAAATGACCACTGTTGGATGTTGGCATGGAATGAGGGCAAAGGGAAGCTGGCCCCCGGTCTCAGATTGGGCGGCCTGGGTGAGCGCTGCAGGTGGTTTACTGAGGTCAGACACAAACAGGAAAGTAAACTGAAAAATCTCAAATCAAACAGCCGTGGTGCGCTGGGCAGGGACACTGAGGAGCAAGGAGGAAGTAAGCAAGGGAAGGAGGGAGGGAAGGGTACCAGGAAGTGATGGCACATGACCCAGTGCAGCCACTGCCGGCTGAGTGTCCCTGGGCAAGTCCCTCTGCCTCTCTGATCCTCCATTTCCCCAGATGAGCATGTGGGTGCTGCTTCTTTCCCCTGGGCTTGGGAGGGTGGCAGTTATGGGGGAAATGTGCCCGCAGAGCCTTCTGGGGGACTGTGATCCCTGTCCCCAGGGCAGGAAGCGGGGCAACAACAGGAGGGCCTTCTCCAATGCTCAGGTGCCCTTAGGATGCTGTCACCTGCTGTCTGTCAGCTCAGCACCTTCAAGAGTCCGTGTACCAGGGCTGGGAGGGCAGAGTGTGAGGTGGTCGGTGTTGAGGCCATGCACAGCCAGGGCAAACACATGATGGAGACATGAGGGTCAGTGTGTGAGAGCAGAGAAGCTCAGACTCACCCTGACAGTGTTGTGGGGGATGGGCCTGGGCCCCAGCCTCAGGGAAGGGGGTTACATACAGGCTGTTGTGTTATCACCCTACAGACCCATACACTATACACCTGCATATGCATGTCTGCACCCCAGTGTGTGTGCATGTACATGCAACACACAACATATCCATGCTCAGTACACACACAGATAAACATGCTTTACAAACACATTGTGGACAAATCATCACTATCCCAATGAACAGCTCATTTTTCCAGGCTTCCAGTTACTCACAGGGCAACCTCTAGAAACTACATCAGGCTGAGGACCTCACAGGGGACAAGAGTCACCTCCCCGCCCCTTCCCCCCCCCCCCTCACACACACACACCAATGGGGTGAGCATCAGTAAGCAAATCCCTAGAGAGAGTTGCAGCTCCCAGCCAGAGGCTCAGCAGCTGCACTGAAATCTGCCTCACATTCCTGGCTGTTTTCTTGCAGATTCGTGAAGAGCCCAAACCTGGAGACCTGATTGAGATTCCCCGCATTGCCTACTCACACTGGGCCCTCTATGTGGGCGATGGTTATGTGATCCACCTGGCTCCCCCAGGTAAGGGGTGTTGAAAGTATAACTTCCAGAGGTTTGTTAACATGATCAGAACAATTCAATGCCAAATGCCATACTGGGAACCCTCATTGGTTTCTCCCTGAGCCGGGCTTGTGCTCACTGTACATCCCTGTCCCTTGGGGGCATCTCAGTGGTCCCTCAGGTCCTGACCCAGCAGGGAAAGAGGTCTGGGGGCCATAGGGAAGCCGGGCTGCACCCCCATTGGATGCTCTCCAGCTCCGGCCCATTAGCTGGACGCGCAGACAGATTTCCCTAAACCAGCAGCGTCTCTGAGGGTCCCGGTCTCAGGAAGGGACTGCCTCTCAGTGCTGTGTCCTGTTGCTCAGAGGATGTCACAGAACAGGGCGCCCTGAGAGGGTTTCCTGAACACCCTCCACGGAGCAGCTCTCCCAGGTCACACATCACACAGAGTCTCACACAGACGCACACGAGCACCTGGAACCTTGATGGGCCGCAGGGACAGCAGAAGCAGGATGACAGCCGGTCAGAGGAGCAGGCAGGCCCCACACTGTGTATCGTCCAGGAGAGAAAGGTGCTGGGATGAGACCGCGCACTGGGAGCACAGGGGCTGGTGCCCTGCAGAGCAATGGCCCCCACACCTCGGACAGCAAGCGTTTGTGTTCTCGCTGGACAGAAACCGTCTCACGATCAGAGGAATCTGCTTGTCACTGACCAGGTTCTGTACGCTGTCACCTACACTGACAGAGTGGAAAACTGTCAGAATGGATGGCAAATAGTAAGCGAAACCCACCTAATGCAGACGACACTTAGGAGGCTGGGAACAGGGAGCGTGAGTGTGAGGACCGGGTGCTGCTGTGTGAGTGCAGGTGGTGTTTCCTCAAGGACAGGTGCTAAGTGCAGCCTCAGCCTCGAGACTCAGCACATAAAGGGAGCCTGCTGGTTACTGTGGGTTGTTGTTTTGGGGTTTTTTTGTAATATATTTTTATTATTTCCAGAGAGGAAGGGAGAGGGAGAGATAGAAACATCAATGAGAGAGAATCATTGATCAGCTGCCTCCTGCATGCCCCCTACTGGTGATTCAGCCCATAACCCGGTCATGTGCTCTTGAGGGGAATCCAACTTGGGACCCTTCAGTCCACAAATCGAGGCTCTATCCACTGAGCCAAACAAGCTAGGACCATGGTCGGCAAACTGCGGCTGGCGAGCCACATGCGGTACTTTGGCCCCTTGAGTGTGGCTCTGCCACAAAATACCATAAAATACCACGTGCGGTCCCACACGTACAGTGCGATTGAAACTTCGTGGTCCATGCACGGAAGTCGGTATTTTGTTAAAGAGCCACACTCAGTGGGCCAAAGAGCCGCATGTGGCTTGAGAGCTGCAGTTTACCAACCACTGACAAGGGCTAGTGTGCTCTTTAGTTCCCTCCTCTTAGAGACCAAAACCCGGGCTCCAGGCTCAATGGGATTTGGACGCCACCAGCTGGAAGCGCTGTGTGGACTCTCCATGTGGCCAGAGCTGCCAGAAAAGGCTGATGATGCCTCAGGGTCCAATATCAGTTGTGAAATGGAGATGAGAGTATTTATCATGAAATTCAAAAGGAAAATAAGTGAGGGAATATATGAAAATTTCACGGCAGAGTCTGAAACACAGTGGGGACTAAAACAACTTTGATCTCTTTCTAAAATACACAGCAAAGATAAATACAATTTACTACCGTTGTTTACAATGGATAAGCTATGGACCAGCCCATAATAGGGACTTGGTCAACTAGATGATGTCCATTCATACAATGGAACACAATGGCAGCCACTGACCATCACAACATTGATTAAATGAAAAGTATTCACAGCTCGTTAAGGAAAAGAGCAAAATCACTGAATCCTCCAATCACATTGGCGAAGGAGGACCAAACAGAACCCAACCTCAATAGTGCGATCCCCTGGCCCTTCCTCCCTGCCTTGCATCCTCTCTCCCTCCCTGGCCTCCCCCTGCAGTTCCTGATACTCGTGTGTCTGGTTCCAGATGAGTACCCTGGGGCTGGCTCCTCCAGCCTCTTCTCCGTGCTGAGCCCCAGAGGGATGGTGAAGAGGGAGCTCCTGAGTGACGTGGTGGGGGGCTGCGGCTATCGGATCAACAACCACTTGGACCTGGAGTACTCGCCACTGCCCGTGAACAAGATTATCAGTTCTGCGGAGGAGATGGTTGGTAAGGAGAAGGAGTACAGTATTGTGAACGAGAACTGTGAGCACTTTGTCACCTCTCTGAGATACGGCAAGGCCCGCAGCCTGCAGGTAAGGCCTTCTTGGGGGGGGGGGTCCCTCTCCCTTCTGGGGGACTGCTTGGGGTGGGGGTGACAAAGCAGAGGCAAGAATTACCCTGAATAATTCAAAAGGGAGCTCTCAGGGTCTTGTTGGCTGGGAGTCAGGACTTCTGAGAACAAATCTCGCATCTGCTTTTAATCCACTCAGGGTCTTTGGACAAGGTACTTACTCTCTAGCCTCAGTTTCCCCATGTGCAGAAGAAGGGATGTTGGAGGACCTCTGGGGTTCTGGCCAGCTCTGTCCCTTTAGGATCCTTCACCTCTATGATCCACCCTAAAGGCAGCTCCTGAAGCCCTGTGTGCTGTCAGGAAAAGTCTGGGCCAACCCGGGACCATGACAGGTCTCCTAAGGCCCCAGAGAGCCCTCGGGCAAGGGATGCTCAAGGTCTGTGGCCCATGTAAGAGCTCAAGGACATGTTATGTAAGGTCTGGGCACATCCTTACCGCTCTCCTCTTTCCCCTCTTACCAAAGCACAGCTAGTAAGAGGCAGCAGCAGGATTCAATGCCCAGTGTCCCTGCTCTTTCTGCTGAACCACAGCACCTCCAGGGCTCACAGTCCCTGTGATTGGGTGATGGGCAGCCTGGATGGAGGAGATGAGGGGAGGAGGAGCAGGATTGGGAGGGAAATTAAGGGTCTGATGCTCAGGTGGGGTGTTGAGTTGACCAGTTAGACATCCAGGTGGACCTGTTGAGTAGCAGTTGGACGTGTGAGTCTGGATTTCAGGGCTGAGGTGGGGCTGGACATAGAAGTTTCCAGGCTGAACTTGGGAACAATACACAGAGCAAAGTGATTCCTGAGGCCATAGTTTTCCATCCTCTCCCCTCAGCTCTGCCACCACCTCCCTCTGAAAAGGTGGAGCCCAGGTAGAGCCCCCTCCACACAGCCATTCCCACTTTCACCCCATGAGCTATGGTCCCAGGAGCCCAGGCAGGAAGCTTCCTCCCCTACTCACCTCCATCAGGACCAAACGGCCCCAACCAGGAGGCTCACACAGAAGGAGCCCATCTGTCCATCCTGCCAGTTGTCAGGACACATCCGGACAAGCCCAGCACTAACAATGGGCATACCTTCCTCTTCCCAGGGAAAGGGTTGTTGGGACAAGGCCAGCATCTCTGAGAGGACAGGCCCCTGGTGAGGGCGGGAGCATGAGTGTGGCCTTCAGCCCCTTTGGTGGGAGGGACAACCTGCCCGGAGTTGATGTGGACTCTGAACCTGGGCTGCTCCCTTTCAGGCAGAAAACTTCGTGACCGATCCAAATAAGTACCTTGGAAATGCAGCTTGGACTGCTCTCACCTGTTCTGTCATGAAGAAGCCATTGCCCAACACCAGTGACAGCCTGAAGGGGCAGGAAACCCCGCATTAGAAGCCGCTGTAGAGCTGACCTCCCACAGTCCGTCCCCCTGACCCGAGCTCACGGGCAACCTGTCTCTCACTGTCCCTCTCTCACTGGCTGAAGGATGGACTGATTGTGCCAAGACTGAGAAATTCATACGTAAACCTACATACCCTCCAGGGAGGGGTTCCGCTCCTTCTGTGGCTCCTAAAGCAGAACGGAAGCACCTGGGCACCTGGTGGGGACCCAGCGTTTGCTGTCCGTGTGACCTGGAGAAAGCTCTGGACTCTCAGTTTTGTTTTTCTTTCATATTTTTTTCAGAGAGGAGGGGTGAAGGAGAGATAGAAACATCAGTGATGAGAGAGGATCATTGATCGGCTGCCTCCTGCACATCCCACACCAGGGATTGAGCTGCAACCTGGGCATATGCCCTGATGAGGAATCGAACTGTGACTCCCGGTTCATAGATCAACGCTCAACCACTGAGCCATGGGGCTTATTTTTCTTTTTCTAACTCAAAGGTCAAGTCCTCACCCATCTGTGACGACCACATGGAATTAAATCATCTTCCTGTGCCCAACTTGCCATGGCTCAAGCTGCCCCTCATTGAATACTGAAATGAGTCGCCTCCACTTTGAGGGCAGGGAAACTCCTGTGTGACAGTGTAAGGATGGATATGTGTCATTATAATGTGTCCAGATTCATAGAATGCACCACACCCAGAGCGAATCTTGGGCTAAACTTAGGTCTGTGGGTTGTTATGATGTGCCGATGTAGGTTCATCCGTTATAACAAAAATACACACTCTGGACAGGGATGCTGATAATGGGGGAGGCTCTGCATGAGTGGGTGGAGGGGCATATGGGAAATCTCTGTACCTTCCTCTCAATCTACACTAATAAAAGACAAAGATGCAAATTGGCCATTCCTTTGTGACGCCCACCAGCTAATCAGGAGTGAGTATGCAAATTAACCCAACAAAAATGGCGGGTCAATTTGCATATGCAGGCACCGAGTGGCCGGGGGCGGGACGCTTGCATCATTGCCATGGTGACGATGCAGGCATTCTGCACTGCCCTGGCTCCTCCGGACCTCCTGGCAGCGTGGGAAGGTGGAAAAGCGGCTCCAGCCCTGAACAAAGGCAGAAAGGCAGCTCTGGGCTGGAGCAAAGGTGGTGCCAGCAAGCAGGGGAAGGAAGGCCCATTCTTGCATGAATCTTCGTGCATCGGGCCTCTAGTGTCTCTATAAACCTAAAATTTCTCTAAAAATTAAATTAAGTCTTTTTAAAAAATTAACCTCCTCAGAGTATCCCTCCGCTAGCACCTAGTGTGCCTGGGCGTGGTCTCAAAAGGGGCGGGTCCCATGCTCTCCTCTTCCTCGCCTGGCCTCTGCCACCAGTGGCCCACCTGAATGGCCACTCTCCATGGTGGGAGCACAGCCGCTCACACTCTGACTGGAGACCTGGGGCGTCCCCTCCCCTGGGCTGTGCCTTCCCGGCAGGAGGAAGCTGGGGGCCCCGATCCCCTGGGTGCACAGACACCAGGCGGGGATGAAGCTCGGGCTTCAGAAGGTTGAAGAACGAGGAGAAGGACTTGTACTTGCTGCCCAGGAGGGCCCTGCTCAGATCCCCAGGTGGAATGTCCGCCTCCGTGCGGGTCCGGGAGGATCCATGCTGGCCTCGCTCCCAGGCTCCCTCTGGGTCAGAGGGCACAGCTGCTCTGTGAGCCCCATACCCAGCGGGTGAGACAGGAGAAGGCTTTCTCGCTTCTGGGTCTAAAGCTCCCCCATAGCCGTGGGAGACGGGGAATCCGGGGACTCGGGTCTAATGGGACATGTGAGCTCCGGGCTCTAATTCTAGGCAGGAAATCTCCCCTGGGACCAGACCCAGGCTCCCAGCAGCTCTGGAGGGACCCAAGGGTGGTGCCAGCTCCCCCCCTCCCCTGGGTGCCCCTGGACCAGGGGTGCGGAACCATGGAGTTTGACTCACCCACAGTCCCCTCCAAGTGAAACTGCCTCTGCCTCCAGGGTCAGGTTCAAACCATGTGACTGGCCCCATCAGTCAGAACTGATTGGCTCAGTGTGCTCACCTGACCCAACAGCAGCCAATCAGGAGGCTGAGCTAGGATGCGGTAAGCTGAGCCAATCAGATTCTCTCTCAGGAACTGGAACAGGGAACCCAGGAGCTGCAGGCACTGAGGAGAGAGGCTGCTGGGCTGATGCAGAAAGGAAAGCCGTGGAGTGAGGAGTCAGGGGGCCAGCGACGCTGGGGAGATGACGGTACTAATTATTCCAGAACCAAGAGGAGGAGAGAGTAGCAGGAGGAAAGGAGCCTCGGCCACTTGGGCTGCGTCACATTCATGGCCGAGAATCCTCAACACAATTCCAGCCGCTGAGCCCCGGCCCTGGCGGGACAATGGGTCCTGCTCTTGTCCTCACAGGTGTGTCTCCCGCCCCTCACCCGTCCTCGCCCTCCAAGAGGAAACCTGAGAAAAGCAGAGAATGGCCAGGACGCACTCAGGCGGCTGGGGAAGAGCCCCTCACTGAGCTCGGCTGCCATGGCCACACACCACCGGCTGGGGGCGCAGCACAGACATTCATTTCTCACCGTCCTGGAAGCTGACAAGCTCAAGGCGAAGGCGCTGGCAGATGCAGTTCCTGGTGGAACCTCTTCCTGTCTTTCAAATGGCCACCTTCTCTCTATGTCCTCACATGGAGGAGAGAGGGCTCTGGTCTGTCTTGTAAGGGCTCAGATCCCATCATGCCCACCCCGCACCCTCGCCACCACCTCATGACCTCCTCTGAGCCTAATGACCTCCCAGAGGCCCAGCTCCAAACACCGTCACATTGGGGGTTAGGGCTGCAACGTGAATGGCGGGGGGGACACACGCATTCAGTCCATGACAGAGCCCAACTGTGTCTTTAATAGCATTCACACTAGCCGTATTTCCCCAATTAAATCTTCCTGTGCTTTTGTAGCTCCATTAAAAGCAGCCTGAATGGCCTGGCTAGGTGGCTCAGTGGTTGAGTGTTGTTCCATGAACCACGGTGTGTCTGGTTCAATTCCCGGAGGCTGATCCCCAGTAGAAAGTGCGCAGGAGGCAGCCACTGATGTCTCTCTCCCATCGATTTTTCTCTCTATTCCCTGCCCCTTCCTCTCTTTCTAAAAAACAAACAAAACCAAAAAACATATTTTTTAAAAATTTAGTCTAAATGAGTAGAAAACAGAGTGAAATCAATAAACCCAACCCCACCCCCGCTGGCTAAGCAAGGCCTCTCCAGACTACCTGGTTGCCGCTGGGATGATTCCTTGACCTCACTGCTCTTCCCGCTCTCGTCTGCCCCGCAGGGACCCGATGAGGGCCGCGATGGCCAGGCCCACACCAAGGAGGCCTACAGCCACGCCGCCTGCCACGACCGCTTCGGTGACCTGCAGCACAAGAGACGGGCGTCACACTCCTCATCAGGGGCCTGGCCACTGACACACCCACCAAGAATCTTCACTCAGGAGAGACCTGGGTCCCCTCCAATGGAACCACAGAAGGAGGGGTGTTTGCCGGGCAACAGGCCACCAGGAGAGCGGAGAAGAGGCGGGGAGAGAACGGGTGGGGGAAGGAGCTGTGGGTGTGAGGGAGACAGCGGCCCCGTAGGTGCTGAAAGGCTCAGAGAGCCGCAGGGGAACACAGGCAGTGCCCACATGGTCTAGGTTAGGGCTGGCCACTGGGAGCCTGAAGCAAGTGCAGAGTTGGGGAAACACCCCTGTGAGCTCTCATGACCCAGGCCTGGGCCGGGATGGTTCTGGGCGGCCCAGGAGCTGAGCCCGGCCCAGGCACAGCGTGGGCGCTGGTGGAGGAGCTGCTGATCCCATGTCATGACTGGGCAGCGGCTTCTAGAGCGAGATCACCTGCTTCTGCGCTGACCGGGGAGGGTTCTGGACAAGGAAGCGGATACTCGGACAGCAGGGATGAGGCAGAGGAGACATCAGGATGGTCCCTGCCCTCACCGCTGTCCTGGGGAAGCGAGAGCACATCGATGGGCTGCCTCCTGCTCACACCCCTGTGGGGGTCAAGCCCGCAACCCAGGCGTGTGTCTCACCAGGAATTGAACTGGCGACCGCCTGGTGCACAGGATGACACCCGATGAACGGAGCCACAGGACCAGGGCGGGTGAGGACATTTCAAAGGACAGGACAGCACCCAGGTCCTTGAGAGCGACACTCCTGAGCTGCAGGCCACACGTGCCCGTCCCGGGCAGAGGGGGTTCCCAGGGGCAGCCCCTGTCAGTAAGCGCTCCGAGAGGCGCTTGGGGCCCGGCTCAGAGGTTGGCTGGACAGTCCCTTCTCCTGGCAGCCTTCCGCTTCTCCCGCAGGCATTTCAGTCCTAGCAGCACCCACTCGTTTATGGAGGGAGCCGGAGGGAGTCTCTGTAGACAGACAGTCAGGGAGCAGGAAGGAGTAAGAGGGAGACAGACAGGAGAGGCCGAGTTACCGGCTGTGGAAGGAGCTCAGAAGGGAGGCACCGGGGACCAGCTGCTCAGGGGAAGAGACCTCCCCCCAGTCCCTCGGGAGCACAGCAGACGGCCAACCACCCCTGAAACGCTGGGGTCTCCCAGATTGGCCCTCGGGGGTTCAGCACAGATGCCTGATGGGCAGCCGGACCCGCAGGCTGCCACGCCTCCCACCTCAGCTCAAAGGAAGGAGACCCCACAGCAGGGTCCCCACGGGCACCAGGGGGCAGTTCCCAGTGGGTTCCCTGCCCCTCCCCTTTCACCACAGCCCTTCTCCCCTCACAGAAGAGGAGCGTCGTCCTCACCGACCGGGATCTACAGCCTTGGCCGAGGCGTAAGGTTCCAGCGAGGATGGGGCACCCACTGCTTCCAGACAGACCGGCCGAGGGAAGAACCAGGAGACCACATCCCCCCTGGGAGGCTCCCTCCACCTCTGTTACTGTAGATGGGAATTCCCACCCCAGACACTTGCCATGGAAACGTGCTGTAATGTATTCATTTGAGTTGTGGGGAAGGGGAATCCAGCTTTTTTCCTAAAAGAAGTGAAGTCTGGCCCTAGCCGGTTTGGCCTCAGTGGATACAGTGGATAGAAGGGTGCCAGGTTCGATTCAGGTCAAGGGCACGTACCTCAGTTGCAGGCTCATCCCCGGCCCTGGTCGGGGCTCAGGTGGGAGGCAACCAATCGATGTGTCTCCCTCACATCAATGTTTCTCTCTGTGTCTCTCCCCTCCCTTCCACTCTCTAAAAATCAATGGAAAAATATCCTCGGATGAGGACTAACAACAAATAAATGTAAATAAATGAATGAAATTAGGTCGGCTTTGGTGATTGGTTGGCAGGAATGCCTGCTCTGACTATTTAAATGACATGCAGACATTTTCCATTAACTGCGTGAGCTAACTGTGCAACGCCAAGGACGTGAAGAAAATAGACACATATGTACCACCTACCAAAAATGCCATCCTCTGCACCTCTTTAGTATTTATAAACTTTATATGTTTGATGTCAGCTAAGAATGTGTGAGGGGCATGTGGTTTTTCAAATTATCTGAGACCAGGAGTCAGCAAACTATGGCATAGGGGCCCAAGCCAGCCCCCTGCCCGGCCTGATCACATGATTGAGTCGATACCCCCACCCCTGGGCACTGACCTTTAGGCCACTTCACAACCGACATTCCCTTTTGCTTAGACCACATTCCACTTGCTAAGACCATTATCCTTCCCCTCAGGACCCGCCTAGAGAATTCTCCGCCCAGAAAAACCGCCTGGAGTCCTTTAAAATTTCTGACTCCTGTGGGTGCTGGTGCCATTTTGGGGTTCAGCCCATCTCGTATCCACATGACCTAATAAATTCATAATGTAAAAGGCTAATATGCTAAGTGTCTATCCAACAGTCCAACCGGTCGCTATGACACACACTGACCACCAGGAGGCAAACGCTTAATGCAGGAGCTGCCATGACGCATACTGGCCATTTACAAAGAAATGGCACCATGGACCTGGCATCAATAAAGCAACACTCAGCTTCCCCCAAGTGGGACACAGGCCCCGCCACCACCCCGGAGCCAACACTGCCGAGACTCCATGGCACAAAATGTGGCCCACAGCCCCACCCAGCCTGGAAACGGTGGCTGTGGACACCAGGTAAGGACATCATGCAGCAACGCCTGGCTTCCTCCCCCTAGAAACAGGCCATTTAAAAAAAAAAACAACACTACGGACCTGGTACCCACAAAGCAACACTCAGCTTCTCTCAAGTGGGACACAGGCCCCACCACCACCCCGGAGCAGCAGCCCACCAAATCGCAGCCAACACTGCCAAGACCCCATGGCCCCATGGCACAAAATGCGGCCCCCAGCCCAGCCCAGAAACAGTGGCTGTGGGCGCCTGGTAATGACATCACCTAGCAATGCCCAGCTTCCTCTCCCTAGCAACTAGTGTCCTTGGAGTTTCTTCAGCCCAGGAACACAACTTGCTTTATAGTCAGGTGCCAACATTTTACACTTTAACCAAATATCTGTGAAGTGTTTTCCCATGCCTCATCTCATTTGATCCTCACAGAAGTCCTGGAGTAGGTAGGTAGGAGACTCGGTAGAATCCTATTTTCTTTTCATTAGCCAGAAAATGGAGATTTAGAAAGTTTAGAAACTTGACCTGACTGAAAAGAAGAAATGGTGGACCTTGAAAATGACTTCATGTTTTCTCACTTTGCAGAATACAGTCAAACACTGCTGCAGTTACATATTTGACCCTTTGTTCTCCCTGCGTGATCTACAGTAATAATCTGCTTCATGTTGATATTTACTGCTGTGTTGCTAACAATTACCTGAAAGAGAAGTTAGGGTGCGTCCCTGGGCTGGAAAAAGTTTAGCTACATCAGAAAGCAGGTCTAATTAAGCAAGTTTATCCTATATAATAAAAGAGTAATATGCAAATAGATCGAACCACAGAACAACCAAACAACCAATCAAAGCATAATATGCTAATGCTATGCTGAGGCTGCTCAACTGCTCACTATGTCGCGCACTGACCACCAGGGGCCAGACAGTCAACTGGTCGATCAGTCGCTATGACATGCACTGACCACCAAAGGGCAGATGCTCCAACCTGTATGTTAGCTTGCTGCTGGGGTCCGGCTGATTGATCAGGACTAAGCAAGATGGGCTGGACACACCCTGGAGCCCTCCCACAGTCCCTCCCCGGCCCAATGGTGCACCTGTGGGGTCCCTCAGCCTAGCCTGCGCCCTCTCACAATCTGGGACCCTCAGAAGATGTCGGAGAGCCAGTTTCAGCCCGATCCTACAGGCCACTTCCCTTGGGAGGGTGCCAGACACAGGGCTCATGGCTGGTGAGCACTGCTGCAACAGTGCAAGCCTTTCTTGATTGGGACTGATTGGGAATGAGCCCACAGTAGACACAGTGGAGCCGGGATGAGTGGGAGCAGCAGGTAGCAACTGCAGGCGGCGTTGGACTGTGGGTTTTGGCCCGATCCCTGCAGGTCACCCAGAGGGACCCCATCCGTGCACAAATTCATGCACCAGGCCTCTAGTCTATATATATAGAGCTCTCGCTGGCGCCAATCGCACACGTGGATTCCATCTGTCATTGTCAATCATGAATTCAGTTAACACTTGTATTACAGAGAAAGGGTGAATATCTATATTAAAACATTTCTTCTAATTAATTGCCTTTCAATGTGCATGAATTCATGCACCCGGCCTCTAGTAAATTCATAATTCTTTACCCCTTTAGGCCCGTGCATTCGTCCTTTGGCGATTCTAACACCCACCACTGTTTCCATAAAAAGCTTCTTTAGGAATGGCCTCACCCACTCCATTAGGGATGGCCCACGACTGCGTTTCTGCAACAAAGCTGCAGAAGTGGAGAGACAGAGCCCACATGGGCCAGAGCCCGAAAGGTGTACCCCCGGCCCTTCCCAGAAAACGTCTGTCTGGCTCTTCATCCTCCTGGCTCCCACTTTTCCTCCTCCCTTGGCCTGTAGTCCTTGTCGCCCCTGGTCATTTCCATCTCATTTTGCAGTTTCAGATTAATCAAAAGAATTAAATCAGATTCAGCTCAATTGTCTCCTCTTCTGTGATGCCTCCTGGATCAGGCACCTGGGTTCAAATCCCACCTCTGCACTTGGCTGTCAGGTGCTAGAGACTCAATGCCTAGTGGTGGAATGAGTTTGGGTGAGCGAGTAAAGCACCGTGAGTCCTAGTTTCCCCATCTGTAAAGTGGGGATAAAACAACCCTCCTCTGGAGCTATGGGAGGGGCCAGGGGTGACTGTCATGGCTGCGACATCACCCCCTGACCTCACTGGTCTGCACAGCGACTGGCACTTCTCCCCAATCTCATTCCTACCCCGACTGTCACTCCCTCGAGGGCAGGGATTCTGTCCCTGCTATATTGTCTTGTTTGTGCCTCTGCCTCCACCCCAGCCGCCCACACGATGCCCAGCCACTGTCAGCGGAGGGAATGGTCTGGTTCCTGGGGACAGGGACACAGGCTGAGGACCCACCTGGTCACTGCGGGAGACTCCGTAGCGCAGCTCGTTCACAAAGTGCTCACAGTTGTCGCTGGTCAGCTTGTAGAGCATCTCCTGCCCCACCTTCTCCTCCGCGCAGCGCACAATTTTGCTGGGAGGCAGCGGGGAGTACTTCCGGTCATGCTTGTTATTGACACGGTACTTGTCTTTCCCGGCCACCACGGACAGCAGCTCCTTCTTCACTATGGCCTTGTCGGTCAGGGCGGACATGAGGCTGGCTGACCCCGCTCCCGCGATTTCACCTGTGGTTCCCAAAGAGGAAAGAGGCCGATGGTCAGGGCTGAGAGCGGGCAAACAGGCAGCCCCACTGCCCTGGGCTTCATCAGTGAGGATGAGCTGGGGAAAGGCCGGCCCCCTGCCTGGCTTCAAACTCAAAAACAGGCCGACCCCCGCCTGGGTGCCCTTGGAGAAGTCACAGCTGCCTCTGGACTCTGGCTCCTCATTTCTAAAGCCGAGGATGTGGATTCTTCTAAAGGCCCCTGTGGGCTCAGATGTCCCTGAAAGATGCAGGAGGGGCAGAGGGTACAGGGCACAGACCCCAGGTGCAGCCCGAGCCAGAGCGGGGTGGGGCCCTCAGCGGCCAGGGTGACATGTTTCCAATAGTAGGAAAGGAGGCTGCTGAGCAAGCCCAGGCCTGACCTGCAAACCCAGAGCCCCACCCACCGTGTGGCCTCAGGCCAGTCCCTTCTCCTCTCAGGGGCTTCCATCACTTACAGACGGAAGGGCCTGGGTCAGGTGGTGGCCACACTCTCCCAGCTCTGAATTCTAGGATTTGCCCCTAACAGGACGCCCACCTCCTGCCTCACCCAGGCTTCTGGGAAAGCTGACAGGAGAAGGTGAGTGATGGGCCCTGGAACCCTCAGCAGTTCTTAGTTGGTTCTTAAAAGGACATTTGACCCTGGCCAATGCGGCTCAGTTGGTTGGAGCATCGTCCTGTACACAGAGAAGGGGAAAGAGAGAAACATCTCACATCAATGTTTCTCTCTCCCCACCCGCTTCTCTAAAAATCAATGGAAAAAATATCCTCAGCCCTAACCGGTTTGGCTCAGTGGATATAGCGTCGGCCTGTGGACTGAAGGGTCCCAGGTTCAATTCCAGTCAAAGGCATGTACCTTGGTTGTGGGCACATCCCAGGTAGGGGGTGTGCAGGTGGCAGCTGATCAATGCTTCTCTCTCATCGATGTTTCTAACTCTCTAGCCCTCTCCCTTCTGCTCTGTAAAGAACTAATAAAATATATTAAATATATATATATCCTCAGATGAGGATTAACAAAAAAATAAAACAGTAAGTTATTCCTCCATAAGCCTCACTTTTTAAAGCCTGCATTTGGCTTTCAAATTCACATGTGTATGCACACACATGCTGTACAGTTGCTTGTAACGGTGGCACCGTCTGCCATGAAATTCAGGCACCGATTTTATTTGGCCCGTTCCCTGCTGTTGGTGGTTCCCAGGCTTTCGGTATTTGCTTTAATGCCACGCAGCTCTGGGAGGGAAGGGAGGTTGGCCCAGCACCCGCCAGCCCCGCCCGGCTCCCCGGTGCTGTCCTGCATCCCACCCTGCACGACCGGGAGGTGGGTTCTCATTGCTCTACTGAGGGTGCAGCTGAGCTTAGGGGGCAAGTCACACGGGCAAGTCACAGGTCGGCAAGCGGAGGCCCCAGGACCCCAAACGGGTGCTGCTAAGTGGGAGGCCCACGCTCCTTCCATGCCTCTGAGCCAGCTGTACGCTGTGTCCTACTCATCTGCCCCCAGAACATGGAGCACACAAAGGGGTGCTTCCCTGGGACAGTGGGTTAGCTGGAAGTGAACCCCAGTATCACCTGGAATAAAGGCCAACAGTCCGTCTCTCCACGAACTCGCTGCTGAGGAAGAGGAGGGGCTGCAGACCTACCAGGGAACATCATGCAGCTAATGGCCAGGGAGAGCCCACCATCCAGGCACTGGGTGAGAACAGCGCACGAGTGTGCAGCCGCTAACACTCCCACCTCTGCCCTGAGCTTCAGTGGAGAACCAGCCTTACTTGGAGGAGCCAGGTGCACCACGTAGCCGTCCCCCACGTAGAGGGCCCAGTGCTGGTAGCCAGGGCGGAAAATCTCAATCAGGTCTCCAGGTTTTGGTTTGGCCTGTGACTGAAAAACCAGAGACAGGCTGAGGTTAGTCCTCACAGGGAACATTCTAGTCCTCACAGGGAACATGTTCTTCACATTTAGGTTTAGCATGTATTACCATATTCTGTAAGGAGCCCCAGCCCAGCCTGCAAGCTCCCTCTGAGCATCTCCTGCAGGAAACGGAAGAGGGCGCTCTCCTCGCTCAGATGGGAAGTCCCTCCTTTATTGGGGCTGCTGAGCTGGAATTGAGCTCTTCGGGGGACAAAGAAGAGATGGACAGGGTGTCTGGAGGGGAGGTGTGGGCAGGTGGGCAGCACGGGGGTGTGGCCGAGACATGGGTGTGCAGACATGGGCATGAGCACATTTTATGCCAGAGCATGTTGGTGTCAGTGAGTATATGACTCCCAGGAAGTCTCAAATGCCCAGTAAAGAGCCACCCACCTTGCGCCGGGTCTGAATGATTCTGAGTGATAGAGCCCTGACCTGCACAGCCAGACATGGTGCTCAACAGGGCCCACATTTCATATCCATCACTCCCTTGACTACAAGCTATCATTACCCCATTTGACAGATGAGAAGATTGAGTCTCAGGAAGGTTAGGTAACATGCAAAGATCCTTACCTAGTGAATAGAAGAGAAAGATTGAAACCTAGTCTGCATGTTACCAATGTTGTGCCCTTGACAATCTCAGAGCATCCCAGGCAGGCGGGGGCCGCTGAAGCCTGGGCTCCAGGCCAAGACCCAGCTGGGGACCCAGGGTGTGCCTGGAGCTGGTGGCAGGGCAGTGCCCTTCTGGGGTTTGCAGGAGCAGGAAGTCTGTTGCCCTCATCCCCCTGGGAATGCGAGATACGCCCTTATCACACAAGTTCTATTTTAGGATCGCTTGAGGTCAGCCAGCACCTCTCCTCCCTGACTCAGCTGAGTGTGGTCAGAGGGGCCCGATCACCATAAGCAGGGTGGGTGGCTATTGCTGGGTGAAGTGAGGGTGGCTGCCAACCGGAAGTCTGCTGGGGAGACATGGTTGAGAGAAAAGCTCTTGATTACAAGTGTCATGTGTCAACCTGAGCAAAGATGGAACAATTTGAGCATCAAAAAGACACACAGCAGATATGTGAATAATGACATCAATGTGCTCATAATGACACTTTCAAAATGCCTTAGTCACCTTTGGAGGATGCGAAAGAATCACCATATTATTACAAAAGCTGGTAAATAAAGGAAAAGATTCAAGCATTTCCTAAGTGAACTGTACTCAGACAACCAAGTTAAGAATGACAGCAAAACCCAAAGCCACAAAACAACACTTAAAGGTGGCTACACTTCTGTATGCAAAGGACTAGAAAACCCCTGGCAGGACACGTACCGAGCCACACAGAGGAGGGACTGTGTGCGGGGGGCGGGGCGGGGGGCGGGGCGCAGAGTGCAGAGGATTTTAGCCTCGGTTTCCATTTGGGTTTGCGGGAGAAGCTAACAAGGAAAATGTGCTCACATATTTGAAGCAGAGATTAAATAAAAGCCATTTGCATGGTGTCAGGATGCAGTGAGCATTCGGAAATGGGACTGTTACGCAGCCAGAAGGAAGGAGCAGCATATGGAAAGGGAAGAGAGGGATGGAAAGAAAAGCAGAGGGAACAGGTGAGCAGTTTGGAGAGGAGGGTGGACAAGAACCCTTCTTTCAGCCCCCGCCTCGGCCCCACACCGCTGGGAGCCATTCTCCTGTCCCTCCCTCCCAGCTCCTCCCAGCCATGCAGGACAGTGTGACTGAGGAGGTGGGACTGGGCAGTGGGCAGAGGCTGCCCCCCCCCATGAGCCCACCATTCCTGCCTCCTCAGGAAGGCCCTGGGGAGCCCTCCCACCCCGGGTAGCGGACCCTCCGGCCTCAGCAGGCGCCCGTGCCCCTCGGTGCCAGAGCTGCAGCCCAGCAAGGAGACCCACATCATCACCACTAACAGGATTGTGGTGTTTGAAATAAAAGCTTTCTGGGGACTTACCAGAGCCATCCTCCTGTGCAGGTGTGTCTGCGTGCTGCTGCCTCAGGCCCAACCTTCTATGATCAAGAGTTTCGTTTTCCCGCTGACCCAGCCCAGGAAGACAAACACCTGTACTTAAAGCCACGTCATGTGCTCCTCTGTGAGACATGTGTCCAGGTGACCTGCGAGGTAATGACTCAGTGAGAGGAGGGTCATGTTCTTCACATTTAGGTTTAGCATGTATTACCATATGCTACTAATAAATACATACATTTTTTAAAATGAAAATGCAAATCAAAGGTCACACAAAATCTGCTCTTTGTTCAAAGCAGGGCCCAGGTCCAGGCCAGGTAGACACATAGGCCTGGAAACCAGCCAGAGAGAAACCGAAGTCCACATGCAGAGTCAGAAGGATTCGGTGGTGGCCGCAGTCAGTGCCATGGTCGTAAGTCACCAAGTCTGAGGGCCCAGAGAAGAGGAGATAGGAACAGCCGGGTCAGGGGGTGTGGGGCGAGGAGGGATGGAGAGACAGAAGGAGGGAGGAGCTCCAAGGAGGCCTGAACACCGGGACTGACCATGACCAGAACACACCAACGATTCCAGCAACCGCTAAGCAGATGGAACCAGACAAAACGTGTCACCAGAGGCGCACGCCCCACACTGGGAACAGGGCGCCCGCTCGCTCCTCGCCCTCCCCCTTCACCCCCCCTTGGCCCCCAGTTCAGAAACACATCCCAGACCAAGTGGAAACCCAAACCCACCACTGCCTGGGTGTGGAGAGGCCCATTTTCTGGAACCAGCGTGCGACCCCATCCAAAGCCCCAAATCAGATTCTCTCACTGACACCCCCTGTGGCTGTAACATCCTGGGCAAAGGGGTGTGGAGTGGGGAGGGCCCGTCGCATCCTCATTGTGCGGCATGTGGGAGGTGTAGCCAATTTCCTGAATTTTGTGTCTATGAATGTCTTGCTCTTAGAAAATATTTCCTGCGTATAAATGTGTCCCTTAAACAACATATACATATGTAGTTTGCATTTCTTGAATGTGGTAAAATCAGAATCAAATATCTCACATTGCACAACTTGATGATGTTTGCCCAATATTAGGTTCCTTGTGGATTCGTGTTCATTCACATCATGTGGAATGTAGCACAGTTCAATCATCCTCTCCTGTCAGTGGACATTGGGGTGCTCCCAGTGGGTTGCATTACAGACAAAGTTGCCATGAGCATCCTCACACAAGCCTCCTAGTGCACCTGGAGTCTTCTCTAAGCAGAGGCTGTTAAACCTTTTTGACCAAGATCCACGGTAAGAAATACATTTTATAAGGTACCAGGATATATAGAGACTTCAGGCATATAAATGCAAGTCTTGCCAAAATCTAGACGAGATACACTCTGATAAATTCTGTTCTTTATTTTTTCTAACATACCGACTGTGACCGACTAAATAGAAGTTATCACTGACTAAAGCAGTGTTTCTCAACCTTCCTAATGCCACGACCCTTTCATACAGTTCCTCATGTTGTGGTGACCCCCAATCATAAAATTATTTTCGTTGCTACTTCATAACTGTAATTTTGCTACTGTAAACAATATGTAATTATATATGTGTTTTCCGATGGTCTTAGGTGACCCCTGTGAAAGGGTCGTTCGACCCCCAAAGGGGTCGCGACCCACAGGTTGAGAACCGCTGGACTAAAGGGTCACCAACCAGAGTTGTTGGGGTGTATGGTATTGTTAGGCAGGATAGATGGCTGCTAGGGCAGAAGGAGGGGAAGGGGGTAGGGAAAAAGGGAATTTTTCTCACCCACTGAATGAAGAAGTCAGCAATCTTGGGACTTGCCAAGATAAAATTGCTAGGTGTTCTCATAAATTTGGGGGAAAGCCACAACAATGTAAAAGGGGGACCTGGAAATCTAGTCTGTTGTCCAAGATCCAGCAGGGGAATCTTGAAACCTATAAGAAGGGAAAATATAAAACCCTTGAACCCCCACCAGGCGAGGCGCTGAGACTAGCTGAGTTGCCAACTTGTGCTTTATGCCAAGTGTATTTTTAATAAATGTTCTTGCTTTGCTTCAACACTGCTTTTTGTCACTCACCTGAATTCTTTCTCCAAAGCGTGAAAAGAGTCGGGGTAGGGGTTGTGGGGGGAGAACCCCCTCCAATGCAAGCAGCTCTCTGGTAGCAGTATGACCTTCTCCAACTTTGTTAGAGAAAGAATGCAAAATTATGTTTCCCATGGGTAGTACACCAGAGTCACAATTGCTCAACATCTTTTTAAATATTTGTCAACATGGCAGTAGTAGCATGGGATCTTTTTCACATGTCTATGTTTATTGGACATTTGTATTTACTCCCCTGAGCTCTGAGGGTGTTTCCAGAAGAAATTAGCATTTAAATGAGTAGACTGAGTAAAGAAGGTGACTCACCAGTGTGGGCAGGCATCATCCAATCCATTGAGGGTCCAAACAGAACAAAACGGTGGAGAAAACACTAACTCTCTCTTCTTGACCTGGGACATCATAGTTCCTGTTTCTCAAGGCTTTGAACTCCAGAGTTTACACCAGTGGCCTTAACACCTTATTTGCAGTCCTTTAGCCTCTCAACAAATTACACGGCTGGCTTTTCTGGTCCACTGCTTGCAAATGACAGATTGTACGACTTCTCGGCCTCCATAACCATGTGAGCCAATTCATGTAATAAATCTCATATATCCATATCTGTATCTATGGCTATATCCTATCGGTTCTTTTTCTCTGGAGAACCCTAACACATTGCCCTTTGCATTTATTAAAAAACAAAATTCAACCTAGTAAATTTGAAGATCTCCTTGGCTTTATTAAGGAACTAATGAATCGGGCAGCATCTCATCCAGCAAGTACAAGGGCAATGTTAACATAAAAACATTCAAACCTGTAAAGATTTTTGTGAGTTTATTTGAGCCCAACTGTCAACAATTGTCGGGAAGCAGATTCTCAACGGACTGGGATAGTGCTCCAGATAATGGCCGTTTTTCATCTATTTTTATACGTGTAATCAAAGGAGGGGACATGGGAGGGTTACAAGAAATCCACTGGTGATAGATTAGGGAGGCGGGAGAAAGCAAAGTAGGGAACCTCTGGGATTGGATAAAAAGTAAAAGATAGACACATACTTAGGTGAGTGCAGGAACAATTAACATAACAATGAAGGAATCCGTGGTATCTATCCTGGCACCCAGGCACATTTGGTTGTGCCCTGAGGGGTCCAGAAAAAGGGAAGTTACAAGTTACCCAGACATTTCAAGGATATGTTAGCAGAGATGCAGAAAGACAGATAGGCTCAGTTAAGGTAAAGGTTGACCTTATCAGTGAAGATACCAGCCTAGGAGGTGACTACCCACCATAACTGCTTTTAGTTAAAGTTTAATTTCAGACCATCCCTGTGGTGACTTTAGGTCTCTGAGTTGGCAAGACTGCCATGCAGGCCTTTTTGATAAAAAGTCCACCTTACCCCCTTGGCCCCCGTCGTCCACAGCACTCTGAGGGGTTGTTCAAAAACAACAACTCTTATAGATAAAAGGTTCGGGCAAAGAGCTGAAGACAAAGAAAAGAAAAGCTACTTTAGGGTCATAACCCAAC